TACTATATGTATGTACTACAAGTGTACCATATATTAATCGGTATATTATTACTAATGTCAAATTGGCATCGTGCTCCATATTTTGCAATTTAATAAAGGGCTAATTAATTTGAATATGCTAAATAGGGAATGGTGAAAGAAAATTTCATGAAAGCATAGTTGCTTTCATTTGTTGACATCATAAATTAATTTTGCGTGCCTTCTAGCGGTATACTTTTTTTTAATTGAAGGGATTTCGTTGTATTTAAAAATTAATGATTTGATATAGCCTAAGAGTTATACCCACTTACAAGTCAGAAAAAACTCGTTTTGTTGCCTGTTTTGGAGAGGAATTTTTTTTTAATAAATATGTAAACAAATTAAAAAAGATAAGTATAAGTAATTTGAAAAACCTAGGATATCCTCGTCCCCGTAGATGATTTCCAGGCGCATCTCCGAAAATAGGTGTCTGGCTGAGATTTTTTGGTTTCATATTATTTAATAATACAATAGATGCATTCACGTAATTATCGAAGGATTAGTCAAACTTTTGATTTTTGACAAAATGGTGGTTACCAAATACCATAAAAGTCGGTTTTTGTGAGAAAATGTATATTTAAAAAGTTGACATTGTCAAAAATCTTATTCCTTCAATCATTACCTGCCAACTAATTTAAGAAGTTCGTGTATATATTTCAAGTAGATCGGCATCATCGGCGACTTTGGAAACAGCGTTTTGAGAAAGAGACGCTCATTTCTTTGAAACTATTTTTCGGACAAAATTTTCGGAGAATATTTTCAAATATACATATCTGCATTCAATATATAAGCAAAAAATCGAGTTTTCGAAATTGACAAGCAGATATGCGGTAAGCGCTTAAACGAATCTAGGATTTTCAAAAAATATAATTAGGTTCACAAGAAAAAACGTTAACTACCCTTCTGAAATACAAAAGATCTCTTACAAGAACTTGATTTCCATCGTTGTGTTTGTATGGCAGCTATATGCTTTAATGATCCGATACCTCGTAAATGAAAAAATTTTCAATAGAAGAAATTGATTTCGATGACTTAATTATTGGGGAGAAAAGCATGTGTGCAAAATTTCAAATCGATATCTCAAAACTGAGAACTAGTTCGCTTAATTGACTAAGCTCGTCATGCCGATTATATACCTACTTTATAGGGTTACAAATTTCGTGGTAAACTTAATATACTCTGCTCAAGGTAGAAAAATCGACCCCAAAGCCTAATAATTCCATACATTTTTATACTCTCGCAACATATTGCTACAGAGTATAATAGTTTCGTTCCCCTAACGGTTGTTTGTATCACCTAAAACTAATCGAGTTAGATATAGGGTTATATATATATAAATGATCAGGATGAAGAGACGAGTTCAAATCCGGGTGACTGTCTGTCCGTCCATGCAAGCTGTAACTTGGCAAAAAAGAACTTATTTTGCTGAAATTTGTTACACATGTTCCTTGATACCTTAAGAAGTTTATGTAGATGGGCGTAAACCACTGCCAGGCCCATAAAACGACATTAATTGAAAACTTATAAAACAAGGGGGTTTTAAAGGAAAAATCGGACGTAGTACAGCCCACAATTAGTCGAAATCATATATCTCCGGAACTACTTGATCAATTTCAATAAAATTTTTTACATAAAATTATTTTGAAAATCCCTACTTCCTATCTAGCACAATTTTACAAATCCAAAATTTACAAAATTGGACCATAACTATTCAAGGCCCCAGTTACGGAGTATGGGGACCCCAGCGACTGGTGCTAACTTTTCATCGGAAATAACGGTCAATCTGTGAGATATATTAATGCAATTCGAAGCGAGTCGCTTTCTGATAATAGTATGCAAGTATGTCAAAAATGCCTTAAATCGGGTCAATACTTTCCTTAGCTCCCATATAGTTTATAGAAATATTTTCGAACTTCCGGTTTACTTTATACCACATATATCGGGTAATCGAGCTTTTTCAATAAAATTAAGTGGATGTATTTTTCTTATAATGCTTCATCGTTGTGCCTGAAATGAGTAAAATCGGATCAAGACTTGCCCTAGCCCTCATATAACATATCACAGAATTTTCAAACATCCGCTTGATTTTGCACCATGACATGATATCTCGCATAGTACCTTAATGACACTCAGGGAGTATTTTATTCTGTTAATATTATGTTGTATTGCCAAAAATAGATAAAATCGGGGCAATATTACGCCAATCTCTCATTTACTTAATATAAGATTTTCAAACTTCCGGTTGGCCTTATGCCATATATACCGGTCAATATAGAAGATATCTCAGCAAAATTAACCGAGCGTATAATATTGCATATACTATAGTTTAATATATAATATATATTATTATATATTATATGTATAATATACCTATATATTATTATATATTATATGTATAATATATATATTATTATATATTATATTAAAGATTATAAAATGTTCGGTTCCACCCGCTCTTAACTTTCCCTTATCACTTTAGTATTGAGTAAGCGGTTTGCGGTTTCGTTTGTTCTTTTACTTACGTAAAATGTTAATAACAGCTGTCAGAAATGTGTTGACATTTAATCGTTCAACCAGATTTACATTTCTCTACATGCAATTTTAAATCAATCGTCGAAGAGCCGGTAGTTGCTCTGAATTCGAAATTAATTTGCTGTAAACTGATTGTGTGAAAACATTTACAGATAAATTGTGAACTGAGAAAATAACTCAGATATTTATACATGCCTGTACATGTAACAGTAAGGAAAGGTGAAGCAAAAATTATATATGCGCATATGTGACGTGTAAAGCACACGTGATCGTGACAACTATTGATTAAGTAATGTGAAGGGTTCTTATTTAGAGGCATTTGCTAGAGGCATAGCTGTCAAAGTTAACACATGTGTTTGACATTTATTTTCAGTATAACGATATATTCACTAATAAGATTCATAATCGTAGAAATTTATTTCTTTTAAATTCGCCAGTCTTCCTTTTATACCTATTTTATATAAACATGTACAAAGTTATCGTTGCAAGCCGGCTGATTACATTATTCTTATAATGCTTTTGTAGAATGCAGCAAATCTCGAAATGGATTTGTCAGTTGGTTACCTAGGTCGTTTGAGTTGACGGTATATCAAGAAAATAGGTTAATAAAGGATTTACAACTGACAGTTACTAATATTCGATGTTATAATAGCAAAATTGTACCGACATGTTTTCGTAAGAAGTTGAAGAAGCCGAATGCCTCAAGTTAACCTGAATCACTAAATCTATAAAACTTTCGAACTCATGTAGCCAAAATATTACACTTTTCACTAACTTTTGAGTGTTTGCTTTGAAATAAATGTTATATTATATAACTCTAAAACGGGCACCCTTTATCTGCATGTATAACGTCTGGGTGGCATGCCAAATATAAGTTGAACGTAGAGCAATATTTGGAATACATTTTAAGGCTATTGACATACTGAAACTAAGCAAAGAAGAAACTACGTGATAGTAAATCGATACACATATACATATGTATGTATCCACATAGGTATGTACCATATATTCAAAGAATACTTTTTCTTGTTATTGTTTGCACAATGGACAGACAAATTAAAAAAAAAAATTCTTTGCCATTTCAATTGATATTCAGAAAAGAGGCTTACTGCTATATTATATATATTTTTTTGTAATTGGAAGTGTTTTTAAGTATCGGCCACATATAGACATACACTACGAACGATTTATACAATTTTTTCAAATATAAATATATAATGGTCAATAAAAAGGCAACTGTCGTACGTAATATTTTTGGCTGTACAACAACAATTTCATATTTCAAACACGTACATGATGCCAGAGAGTGTAGCTTACTGAGCGTGCGCAACAACATTCTTCTTTCAACATTATTTTCGATAACATTTAAAGAAGTTAGAACCAAAAGGTATTCAACAAAGTGAAATAACTATTTGACTTACGCTTATTAGACAATGAAGTAGTAAACAATTGATGTATTTGTTTAACCCGCCTGTGTTTTTTTAGTTTTTGTTTTTTGATATTGAACAATATGAAGCCACTTGCTTTACAAACATACATATATGGTATAAGTTAAATAGAAACGTAATAGAAATAGGCAAAACCAATCTATCCATTCTCAACGTTATAATGAATGCATATTTATTTTACAAATAATTACATACGTGTATAAATGCAACAGTATTCATAAATATTAAAACTACTATTTTATAGTAACTAACTATATGCTATACATACTTACGTGGCCAATTACCGCGCCTAACTATTAGAAACTGTGTACAGAAGTTTAACCGACTCTTTTAATTATAATAGTTGTTATAAGTTTTTAATATAGTTCATTTAAAAGCATAAATCATATAAATGAACAAGTAAGGAAGGACTAAGTTCGGGTGTGACCAAACATACACCTTGTTTAGAACTACAAAATTCGAGCACAAACGCAAATTTTATAATACTCTTGAAAATAGTAAAAATTACGAAATTTCGTATACTGACCAGTATACCTATGCAGCAATTAGATGGAGAGGCATAAATATATTCAGTAAAAGGTATGCCTTCTCACCCAAACAGGGTCTAGATAATCATTACAACAACTACTCGTTAACTTAAAACTTAATGATCCAAACAGGGTTAGATGGGCGAAATAACAGCCCTTGACCGGATAAAATGTGGGTCAATTCCGGTAATGTAGAACCGGCTGTCGTGGGAATTGCGACCATAGCCAGGATGGTTCGACCCTGTCGAAACAGCACGTTTCTTGAGTCTACCGTTGAATGACTTCAAACCTTACGAACCTTACCACCGGGGATAAGACAACCGCTACAACAGCAACCACCACTCTTTTTTTCCATTCTTTTTTAAATTCGCGGGCACTATGGGCGTTGAGGCGTATCGGACCACCCTTGTATGAGTAATATAAAGATTTACAAGTTTGGTTAAATTTATTGTAAAATAATTAAAACAAAAACAACTATTCAACATGAACTTAAGAACATTAAAAACACATTTGGCGCATTCTTTTTTCAGCTTCTTTGTGACCGTTGCAAATGTATTATCGATTTCTTTATTATCTTCTTATATTTTTATAAAATATTACAGCTAACTGCACTTGCTTATAAACCGAATAGTGCTTAAAAGCAATCACAATCTTTATATCAACTTACGCCTAACAATTTCTCATCATTTTTACAATAAAATTAACATTTCTTTCATGCAAAAAATACGTTTCGATTACTTAACCTCTAAATAATTCCCTAATTTACAATAGATATTTGGCATAGCGTGTACATATGTATGTACAATTCAAATACATTATAGAGTAAAACAATTGCACAAAATATTAAAAAAAAAAAAAAAAAATTTAACAAGTAAAAAAAATTTAATAAAACAAAAAATAAAATAAAATAAAAATGTAAACAAAAATTAAAAAAAAAATACAAAATCGTTTAAAAGTAAAATAGTTAATAATTGCACAATTGTTTCAAATTAATAATTGAAAGCTAAAATTCTTTGTGATATGATTTTTACACATACACATACAAAAGAAATTAAAAACTAGAACGACTAGTTAATACAAATTCTTAACCGGTAATAAAAGTTTACAATTAACCATAACTGTAATAAATCAATTAGACATATTAATTTACTAATTGCGGTTAAGTGGGAAGATTATATGCAAGTTAATCACGTAAATGGCTGCTTACGCCAGTAACTTTCAATAACTAAAATATGTATAAATTATATATAATATTCTTTGTGTGTATGTATGTATATGTGTATGTATACATTTATATGTATTTATAAACTTATAAGAAATTAACATTTGACACGCATCACAGCACCACTACCAACGTCTTGGTACAACATTCCTCTTAAACTTAAAATTCTAAAAACAAAAACTAATAAGAATAAAGGAAAATAGATTCCTTATAGCTTACGTAGATTTTTACGTATTTTACGTTTTGTTGTTGCGCTAATTTACATGCGTGCACAGAAATTATATAATAGCTGTTTATCTTCAAAATGATAAACATTGTTTATATGCCGCAAAACACGTCCGTCCACTAAATGTCTAGCGTAATGCACAGCCTCCAGGCGATCCTTGGCGAGCCCAACTTCGAGTAGCCAATCCACGAATTCGGTGCCGTAAAATACTTTGCGATAAACTCTAATGCGCCACCTGTTGAGAATATGAAAAAAAAAAATATCGAAAAACTTAATGAAAGTAATGAATTGAAGGAGCAACTCTGCTACAAAAACCAGTTTAGTTATATGAATATTTAATAAATAAATAAGTTAAGCTCAATAGCAAATAGTTAAGTATTATATTACGAAAAATATTGCTTATAATAAATAAAACTGTGGTAGACGAATAAGTGAACAAGCTGATGACTTACATAATAAAGTCAATTCCGGACTGCTAAAGTGAAGTTTGATAGGCTATTATTTTAGGTTAAGTGATTTAATTGAGTAATTAATGATATGGCATAGCTATGTAAACCTTAAAAAAATAACTTTAATTTTCGTGCACAGTGTAACTAGTATGTCTTTCGAGTTTATAGTGCAAAGCAAAAACCAAATAATGATTTCTTTTCAATTTAGACTAGCGTTATCAGCTTAATGATATGATTTCGCAAGAAATTGCTTTTACATACCTTTTAAAAACACTTCAATCAGCTGATATTAAAAGAAAATACTATGCCGTATCAAAGGGACATAACTTTGTTTAAATGAAACTTTAAATATATATGTTTTCAGATATTCGAAAATTGCATGTCAGATATTCATGAAAGCATGATGAAATTTGCTTTAAATTATAGTATTATCAAAATTCATGTCAGGAGATTTATTGTGTATTAAAAAATCTAGGCATTTTAATTTTTTTAGTATGTTTCGTAAAAATTTAGTTTAGAATGTTGAATTCGTAACCGCAATCATATAAAAAAAATAAAACAAGAAAAGACGCTCTAACTTCGGACGCACCGCTCCACAGATGCTTTTCATATAGAAGCTATATCTATAACTAAAACTGAAAACGTAGCCAGCTTTGCATACAATGGAACAAGTTTCGCTATCGATTGACTAGTTTTTTCAAATAACGTTACATTTTTATTATATTTTAATTCCCATTAATTTAAAACTCTCATTAGAGTCGTAATCGTATTTTTTTGGCAAAATCTAAATATCTAAAATAAGAATAAGTAACGACTTTTCTAAAGAAGCTTGAAAAAAATGTATAAATGTTAAAATTTATTGTATAAATTCGATGTCGATTTCGGTTTTAAAATTGTTTTTGTGTAAATCCTCTTAGAAACGAGATGTTGTAAAATAGTTAATATAAAAATTTGTTGAAAATAGTGGTTCACTATTTTTGTAGTCTAAAAGACGCTCAGTATTTAGGGCGAGATCAAACTAACTTTCTGACTAATTCGCCTATAATTATTGATATGAAAATCATTTCAGGTAGCTTTTGAATGTTTTCAGCTAAAAGTTAAAACTTTCATATTTTCTAAAAAGGGTAAAGCAATCTAAGAACCCATCATAAAAATCTTATTGGATATTCAGCTAAAACTCAAACCTAAACATCGCTGAAATTTCTGTGGTGAACTTCACAGTTGTAAAAATATAAAAAATATACAAATTGAAATTATACAAAATATATAGCATAAAACAAACCTTCGATCTTTAGCAATATGCTTCTTGCAATTCTCCAAATGATGATTGCGGAACTGCTCACAAGTATGCTTGGTCTCCGGAGTGAGACTTGTCCACAGTGGTAGAGTTAGAACATTTGCGCCATACCTAAACAAATACAAATAAAACGAAAAACAAATTTGTTAGAAAGAATTTTTAAAGAATAATAAACAGCTACGCACCACAACTTGCGCCAAATCTTCACAAATGGCGTCAGCAATTCGCTGGTGTCAGTGATAAATAGCGCCAAAACGATCAAGCTCTGACCGAAATTCAAGAAAGCGTCGAGAAAACTCAATTCCAAGTAAATACCAGACATGCCATCCATTACCAGAGTCCAAATAGAAACAGATAGACCCTTCAAAAATATATTATATTATTATTTAGTTGTTGTAGTCGCAAACTGTTTAAGAAATTGTTTGGCATTTTTTAAAAAAACATACCACAAACATTGAGCAGAGCAGCAAGATCAGCAACACTGTATGCTTCAAAGTCTGATACTCATCAGCATCATTGGCATATTCTAATGGCTCTAGACCACGACGTGACTGATCCTGATAGCGTTCAATAATCGATTGGCAATTTTGACGTGAAGAACCCGCAGCACAATTGAAAGCCGGACTACAGATGCCCGAACGTATGCCGAGATTCCTAGAGAAGGTGAGAGATGTGGTATTCAAATAAATTTAGCAGCGTGTGAAACCACTTTTACTTACTCATCTTCGAATTGGTCTGTTGACGGCGTGGTGGTTGTGTCGTTGCTTCGCTTACGTGCCGCGCCTTCGGCAGCCGATTTTGCAGCCGCTTCACGGCGACCCAGCAAATCTTCGATATCCACAACAACCGTCGTAGTTGTTGGGCTGGTAGCGCTGGAGCAACAAGTACCGCCAACATCACCGCCGCAGCCGCCAGCGATTGTATTAGGACCATTATCCACTGTCGAGATAATATCATCGTCGTCCGACGAAGAATAAGAGCCATAGCGACGTCTCTGCGCCGGCACGACGCCACTGGAGAGACGCGCGCCATCGGTATTCGTTAACAAATTTGCAGTTGATATGGTGGATTGTAGGTCAGAGGGTTCTAGGAAAAGAATGAAAATTATGATTTTAGTAACTAAAAGTATAAAAATTCGAATTAAAATTAACTCACCGGAATCTGGATTCGATAATTCGCGTGTGTACGTCAAGTACTTCTCATAACGCTTCTTATAACGCTGATGCATAACCAAACATCCAACAGTGACTGTAAGAAAACGATATAATAGAGTTTTAAATAGCAGTCTAAGCTTTAAGTAATGATGTTATAAGGAAAATCTATATTATATATCAGATTGAAAACTTTGAGAACATCACTGTAAAGCTTCACACAGCGTTCGACGTACAATTTTGTCAGCAACGAAGCAAAAGCTGCAGCTGCGTTTCAGCATCATAACATGTGCTGTTGACAGCCGAATGAGCAGTGACTTCGTGTGCGCTGACCGACGAATGCAATGTGTAAAGCCCATATTAACTTGTCAAACACATTTTTCTCATCATTAAAAGAGTTACTGAATTTTTAAGAGGTTAGGCCAGTCTATAATTTATAAAGAACAAAAAAAAGTTAATTTCGTCTTCGCCGAATATACTACCTTTCACAGGTTAAATAAAAGTACTTGATTTTAATCGTTCAGCTTTTATGGCAGCTACCATATACGCTACAGTGGTCCGGTATGCACAAGTTATTCGCTGATTGTACCGTTGGCTTATATAACAATACATGCCAAATGTCGTGAATTTCATTCCTCGTCGAATAAAACAGTCTTCCATACAAGAACTTGTTTTCCGGTTCCGATGAATATGCAGCTTCTTAGGAACAAAAGGAACTGTGCGAAAGTATCAGATTAATATCTTAAAAACTGAGAGACGCAGTTCTGGGTATAAAAAGGTGATTCCGAAAATTGGCTCACAAAGTTAGGTTTCTAGACTGGTCTAACCCCTTAAATAACGGAAATATAACCTCTACTTACCAAAGAAACACATGACAAGCATAAATACAGTGACTGCCGCTTGCGCAGTGCCATATTGGAAGCAGGGGTTGTGCTTATCAGGCAATAAAATTTGGCTATCTAAGGCGATCAGCAGACCAGATATTATAGCAGGCACACCCCAGGCAAAGGCGATCTAATTTTTGGTAGAAATTTAAAAATTAATTAGAAATGAGGTTATGGTATCACATGAGCAGCATAAAACTCACCATATAAGGCCACATGTTGAGCACGAAACACAAGCTGCGACACTGCAGGAAGAGCAGGCAAATCGCCAATATAGCTGTCCACAAGCGACTGCTGAATGTGCCCATATTGAAGAGGAAGAATTGCACGTATATCAACCACTTCTCGGCGTGATCGAATTTCGCCCAGATAATCACGGCCGCACAGCACATCAGCTGCGACAGCACCAAACAGAATGTAACACGATGCGGCATGCGTCTAAAACGCTTTGTCAAAATCAGTAGTATTAGAACCCAAGCGGCGGCGGCCACACCGGCAACGCTTATATCGAAAGAAAACACATCCAACTCATGTATATAATCGACTGGATTCAAATTGGTGATGGAAATCATTTTCGCCGAGATGAACATTAGCGGCGCGGAGATAAATGTGCAGAGCACCATGGCCGTAGCGACCAATTCCACTTCGACATTATATTGTGTGGCGATGACAAAAGCGCCCGGTGCAGCCGGAAAGGTGCCATATAAGAAACCGAAGGTGCTTAATTCGGTTGTATCGTTGAAATCTGTGCCCGCTTGCATGATATTCACCGTTTGACGGCTCACTAGCGGCAAGACCAAACTGTAAAAGATAACTTTAGTATGGCGCCTAAATGTAGGCAATACTTTATAACAAAAACTTACATTTTAACCAATATCAAGATGCCGGGTAGCAAAAAGCCTGCGCCACGCAATGAACCACCTTGTCCGACAATTTTCAAACCCAACAGGAAAAGCGCCGTCGCCGAGAATGACTGGCCAAAGACGCGCAACACACTCGCTATCATTTCGGGCAGACCATTCGGAAAGACAAAAGCACCGCCGACACCTAGCAACGTCATCAGCAACATCGGATTGAAGAAAAGTGATTTGAGTGTGTGCAACACCAGCAGCTGGTTTTCACTCAAGCAACGCGTGCGCTTCGCTTGCTGTTCGGCCGGGCAGAGGGTCGATTCTTGTGCCTGAATGTTTGGGTATGTTATCAAAAAAATTGTAGAAAAATTAAAGGATGTGTGTAAATAACTCACCGCTTCGGCTTTTGTTTGTATGATTTTCGAGATTTCCATCAGCACTAAGCCGATGGGATTGAGCAACGCTAACGAAATAGGCGCCATCAAGTACAAATACGAGGCATACTCGGGATGAACATCTTGGTACAGCGCCATCACTGTAAAGAGCAATTAAAAACATTTAGTTTTCCATATAATTTCGAGGCAAACATTAGTACACACCAATCGGATAGCCAATCGCGAAATCATTGCTCTGCGTACAAAAAATACTCAAGAGGCCGGCGCGCGCATAATTTAGCGGTCGTGTAATGAGCAGTGAGATCACAAGCACAGCGAAGAATACAATCGCTTTGGATAGCGTCATGGCCAGTAAGAAGGTCCAATTTACCCTGCTCCAATTGAGCTCGACCAGCGAGAGAAAGATTAGCGACGGCAATGCAAATGTGCCGACAAATGTGCCAAGGCCTTTAGTTTCCGAATTTGAAATGATTTTGAAGCGGCCAGCAATGTAACTGTGGAGTAAAAAAATATAGAAAAATTTAAGTAAGTAATTTTGTAAGATTGTAATAAATATTTATATACAAAGTCATGTGAAGCGTTAAATTATTTGGAGGTTAAGTTTGCACAAATATCTATAAACCCTATGTTTTGTGTTTGTTTAAATTACCATTTCAATACAATAGGGTGATCATTAAAATTAGAAAGATAATATTTACATCCGATTTTATGAATCTACCATTTTCAAAGATATTTTATACTAATTATGCGGCTTTAAGCAGATTCCTACGTATTACTGAATGCTTATTGTTATAGAGGTTATTCGACGCCGTTTTGAGATTAAATTTTGTTATTTTCGCTCGTTTAGGACTTCAACTAACGGTAGTAACCAAGAACCAAGAAACGATCTATTTCAAGGGCTTAGGGCTGTTAATGTTATATCTGCTTTTTCGAAATTTTATTTTTTAAAAAGTGTTTTGAGGGCTTGAAGGCCTTTTGTTAGGTTTAACTGATTTTTCAAAGACCACGCTCATATACATATTGACGGAAATCGTGCGTTACACACCGTTAGATGTCGGTACATCGTATCAGCGCTAACTAACGAGTAAGCTCTGTCTTTGAGGATCAGGAAAGTGTATTTCTTCGGTACATAGACCCGAAGTAAAATCGAGTTCTTAAGACGATCGCGTTATACTTAGGGCTTATCATATCAAGAGATGTAATGGACAACTCTACTATTTGCGAGCATAGAATAAATGTTATAGGAAACGAACTACGGATTATTTGTTTATGTCTTTTTTGAAGATCTATAGACTCTGCGATTTTTGAACAGTTTTCTAATAAAAGAGCATATATTTTACAAAATTGCATTTTTTGCCTTAATAATATTCACGAGCAGATTTTTATGGATTTAGATTAGGTAAAAAAGCTCGATCTAAAAGCTGATCTCACTTGAGCGGAACGGACAGTAAATCTTTATAACTATGAACATAAACAGCAACTTTCGGACAGGTATTTCACACATTATTCACAGTATACGGTTAGTCATTCAACCGAATGAGGTATCAAAGTTATATTTTTGTGAGAACTTCGACAGTTTTTCGAATGGATCTTTTTACTACTTGACTTACATGGGGCCCAAAAACCACAACGTAATGATTGACGAAGCACTAAGTGAAGGCTTCCTGCAGATAATTTTTCAACGGATCACTATCCAAGTCTCAATTGTCATGAATAAATTCTACAGTTGCAGAAACGATTTCTTTTGGGAGTTGTCTTGATCTTGATCTAATATAGCACGGAACATTGAGGCATTTTGGGAGTTGTAGAATAGGAATGTTCGAGTTTCACACTCCTCAGTCAACAAAAGAGTGCGGCCACTACGTCGTTTCTACGTTAAGCACTGTCAACTTGTGGGTACTTCTCAAAGTTATTTGGAAAATGGTTTCTTCCGGTTACAGTATCACACCATTTTTATACACATATATCTCTATGTACTTATGTATTATTGGAACAAGATTTTCGTTTAAAAAATAAGTAGCTGTCGCAGTTTACTCTTTTGCCTTCAGCTTGGACAACCATACTTTCGCTGAACCAAACACGTTTACATGTGTCACATGACCGGCAATTGCCTGCCTGCAGCGAACTATTCTCACTTGTAGTAAACAGAATTGACAAGTGCATTAGCGTCTTGTGATCGTCGGCAACATTTCTTTTCCATTCAGCCATTAGCTTTACATATTTAACTTATTTATTTTTATTGCATTAATGCAGTGTTGCCACTGATTCATTCGTTTATGTGCTTTTAGCATAAATTGGCATGCGCCTTGCGTTGTCAGTTAACATTTCAAGCATCAAATGACAAGCCTTTTAAAAAAAAAAAAGAATAGTCAGCTGACTTTAATTTGCCATAGTGTTGACACGTTTTCATAATAATCATATTATTATTATTGTTGTTGAAAGCGATAAAAACGGGAAGAAATTATGAATGGTTGGGTGCCTAGCGTAATGATATTACTTTTGAATAGAAATTTTAATTACTCAAAAATTCAAATATTGTTGTCATTAAATTGTAACTAAAACAGCATATAAGATTAACTAATTGTCCATTAACATTTTAATTTTCATAAAATGTTTATCCCTCTAAAACCTACAGCACATTCAGCGGGAAGGGGAAAGTGTCTGTTTAGATAAAAAAAAAAAAAAATAATCATCATTTTAAACAAAAGTTGTTAACATGTAATAAAAAATAAATCAAAATTTAATAACTTGACACTTACTGTGAGAAAATTTGAATAACAGTTCATTCAACAATTTGTTAGAATTCTAATTTACATTGTAAGTGTAAGGAAAATGTTGCAAAAAGATTCTATTGAATTGAGAATTTTTTTTATAATACATGTGAGTAATAGACAAGTACTATATAATTTTTTTCTAAATTCAGCATTTCTCTTATAGTAATAGTAGCTGTACCCGGCGTGTCCTGCTACGCTCTTTTTATACTCTAACATATATAACAGCCTAACGGTTGTTTGTATCACCTAAAACTAATCGAGTTAGATATGGAGTTATATATATAAACGATCAGGATGACGGGGCGAGTTCAAATCCGGGTAAAAGTTTTTCCGTCGTATTGAAATACTCACTAAATATATTTTTATATATTATAAACATACGGACATGTCTAAATCGACTCAGCTGGGCACGTTCGTCATTTATATATATTTATATACTGTGTAGCGTTTTCAACGTATCCTCCTGAGTGTTATAAACTTCGTGACAGACTAAATATACCCTGCTCAGGGCATAACAATTGTAATCCGGAAAAGATTTAAGCATTTCTTCGAAGTCGCTCAAATCGATAAGTTCAATTTGCTCTGCTCTCTCATCTATACTATAATATTATAAAGAGGAAAGATTTGATTTTTTGTTTGTTTGAATTGAAGAGGCTCCGAAACTACTTGAGCATTGAAAAATTCTTTCACCATTGGGAAGCTACACTCTCTACGGAGAACATAGGTTATATTACATTTTCAAAAAAGTTAGAGATCTTTACTATAACGACCATAATATATCCCAAGATGTAACATAAAAAAATACCTAAAACATTTCTTACATAGCGTGCGAATACTATTGATTATAGAACAAAATAATGTACTACGACTTTGCAAAACATATAATTATCTACAAAAATTGTCACGACAGCATGTGCCTAACTGTTATAGTTTAAATAAGTGTTCTTTTATTAAAAGCAAAATAATTATAATTAAAATATCGCCTTTGTAAAAGCTCTATATTTGTACCTATGTGTATTAATCCTTATCAAAATTGATTACTTCATGTTCAAAACTGATTCAATACTTTTATATAACTTTTTGAATTATTCGATTCGGATATTTCATTCGAAACATATTACGAATATAAAAATGTAAGTATTAGAAAAAAAGTCGCGTGTTGAGTGGCGACTCGCTCGACTAGGCTGCAACAAAATATGCGATGTAGGCGTCATTGGGCCACGTGAGGAGAGTCAATGACATTAAATAAAATGCAGCGCGGCCCACTCGCCCAGTTGGCTACCTACGAAGCGGTCGTGTGCGAAATTGTATATAAATAATATTAAAAGTTCGTTGAGCTAGAGAAGCTTTTCTAAATTTTTATTTTCATCTACACTCTGCTACTTTTCTTCTCATCACCCTTTTATTTATGTATATTTAACCAAATTTCAATATATTTTTACGTTTCTGTTCCATTACACACAACATATTGTACAACAACTAATCGCCGGCTGTTGAGTACGGCTTCTAAGACTTATTGAATTTCTATGCCGATGGCACGTGGCAGCTAAACTTAGTATGTAACAAAAAAAATATATATGAAATTTTGCATAAGTGTATATTTATCTTTACGTACATACATATTATATGTATATACGATATATGTACATACATATATGTAAATATAAAGCTACGTGTGGCTTGAGGTCAAAAACTTGTTGCTTCACGATTTATTTTTATGCTCGGTTCGGTGGAGGAGGTATTGAAAATTAGGCAAACGCATTTATTAGATTTTGGGTATATACATATACATACATAGATGTACACATATATATAAATACAACTATGCAAATATATATATAATTCGTTGTTTTAACTATCGTTCAACTTCATGCGTGTTTACATAAAAGACAGTTAAGACACTCGTGCGTAAAGTGATTAACGCTTGCGAATGCCGTAGGTAATAAAACTAAAGCACAGTTATACCTAGTTTTCTTTGCTGTATTTTTTAATTTTTTATATTTGGGGCGTGACAATAAAGTTTGCTGCTTTGGCTGTAGGCTGTAACGCGTGAAACACGCCGTTATTAGTTTTGCAATATTCATTTTGTTATTACTTATTAATATACTTAGCAGCAGACAATGCAAGCGATTTACTTGGTTGTGTTTATTTGAATGTATGAGTGTGCGTATTTCATTTGAGCTTTTTGATTTATTTTAGTCTTTTATTATATATTATACTTTTTTTAAATATTTTTATTTTTTATTTTAATTTTTTTTATTTATTTTAATTTTTTAAAATTATTTTTTATTTTTTAAATTTTTTTTATTTTATTTCTTTTTAAATATTTTTTTCTTTTCTTTTTTTTCTTTTATTTTGTTTTATTATTTTTATTTAATTTTTTTTCTTTTATTTCGTTTTTTTATTTTATATTTTTTCTTTTATTTCGTTTTATTATTTTAATTTTTATACTCTCGCAACCTGTTGCTACAGAGTTAATTAGTTTCTGTATCAATCCCCACGGTTGGTTTGTATCACCTAAAACTAATCGAGTTAGATATAGGGTTATATATATATAAATGATCAGGATGAAGAGACGAGTTGAAATCCGGGTGACTGTCTGTCCGTCCGTCCGTCTGTCCGTCCGTCCGTGCAAGCTCTAACTTGAGTAAAAATTGAGATATCTTTATGAAACTTGGTAGACATGTTTCATGGTACCGTGAGACGGTTGGTATTGCAGA